CCATCACTGCTTGTTGTACCGTCAGTGGATGTGGAGAACAATTGATAAGAACGGCCTTACTGGGTCAGACCAATGGTCCATCTAGCCCAGTGTCTTCCGACAGTGGCCACTGCCAGGTGCCCCAGAGGGAATGAACAGAACAGGGAATCATCAAGTGATCCATCCCCTGTCGCCCATTCCCAGCTCTTTATAAGAGCCCTTAACACAGTGGTTTTCAAACTTTTTGTATTGGTGACCCCTTTCACGCAGCAAAACTCTTGAGTGTGACCCCCCTTATAAATTCAAAATGGGGGGGTAATTTAATGGGGGCTTGGGGCTGTCAGCCCCACAGAGCTGACAGCTGGTGACCCCCGTGTAACCACCTTGTGGGTTACGACCCCGTTTGAGCGCTCCTGGCTTAACGGAGATGCTGGCTGTTCTCAGGTCCCGCTCCTCAGTCGGCTTTTCCCAAGACTGACCAGGCCCCGTTTTAAATCTTTCCTCCATCCTAGGTCCGGTTTTTTTTAACCGTCAGTCAGGTTTGTTGCTCTCCACAGGCCTCTCCCCAATTTGTCCCCATCTTTCCTGATGTGTGGTGCTCAGAACTGGATGCAGTTCTCCCGCTGAGACCTTAGCAGTGCTGAGGAGAGCAGGACAATTACCTCTGGTTCATACAGCCCAGAATAGAAGCAGCCTTTTTGCAACTGCTTCACACTGTTGACTCACCTTCCATTTGTGACCCCCACTGACCCCCAGATCCTTTGCGCAGTCCTGCCTTCTAGCCAATTAGTCCCCATTTTGTAGCTGGGCATTTTAATTTCCCTTCCTAAGTGAAGTACTTGGCACTTGTCTTTACTGAATTTCAGCTTGTTGATTTCAGACCAGTTCTGTAATTCTCTTGTAGTCTGTTTCCATGACAGCGACATCTTTCTCCCCAGGTTCCTTATGTCACCTGTTGTCCTCCTCTTTTCGGTCCCCCCCAAGCGGTACCCATTCAAGGCCTGGGGCGGGGGGCTGCTGGGGTGGGGGGCGGGGCAAGGGGAGCGCCCTGTCCCGGGTGGGGGGAGCGCCCGGTCCCTAGTGGCTCAGGCCGGCCCAGGCTCCCGAACTCCAACTCCCAGAAGGCCGCGGGCCGTGCACGCCGCCTGCGGGCCACGGCGCCTGAGAATGACGTCAGCTCCGCGACGGGAGAGGCCACTGGCTGCTGAGCGGGGAGGCCGGTGAGGGGCTGGGGGGAGCTGTATCGGGTCCCGGCGGGGCTGGGGGGGGGGTGTAGTGGGGCCCAGTGGGGCTGGGGGGCTGTATCGGGTCCCGGCGGGGCTGGGGGGGGGTGTAGTGGGGCCCAGTGGGGCTGGGGGGCTGTATCGGGTCCCGGCGGGGCTGGGGGGGTGTGGTGGGGCCCAGTGGGGCTGGGGGGCTGTATCGGGTCCCGGCGGGGCTGGGGGGGGTGTAGTGGGGCCCAGGGGGCTGGGGGCTGTATCGGGTCCCGGCGGGGCTGGGGGGGCTCTATCGGGACTGGGGGGCTGTATCGGGGCTGGGGGGGTGTAGTGGGGCCCAGTGGGGCTGGGGGCTGTATCGGGTCCCGGCGGGGCTGCGGGGGGTGTAGGGGGGGGGTGTAGTGGGGCCTGGCGGGGCTGGGGGGCTGTATCGGGTCCCGGCGGGGCTGGGGGGGGGGGGTGTAGTGGGGCCCAGTGGGGCTGGGGGGCTGTATCGGGTCCCGGCGGGGCTGGGGGTGGGTAGTGGGGCCCAGTGGGGCTGGGGCTGTTTGGGGCTTTGGGGGGGGGCTGGGGGGTGGGTAGTGGGGCCCAGTGGGGCTGGGGGGCTGTATCGGGTCCCGGCGGGGCTGGGGGGTGTAGTGGGGCCCAGTGGGGCTGGGGGGCTGTATCGGGTCCCCCGGGGCGGGGGGGGGGCTCTATCGGGACTGGGGGGCTGTATCGGGGCTGGGGGGGTGTAGTGGGGCCCAGTGGGGCTGGGGGGCTGTATCGGGTCCCGGCGGGGCTGCGGGGGTGTAGGGGGGGGTGTAGTGGGGCCTGGCGGGGCTGGGGGGCTGTATCGGGTCCCGGCGGGGCGGGGGGGGTGTGTAGTGGGGCCCGGCGGGGCTGGGGGGGCTGTATCGGGGCTGGCGGGGGTGTAGTGGGGCCTGGCGGGGCTGGGGGGGCTGTATCGGGTCCCAGCGGGGCTGGGGGGCTGTATCGGGGCTGGGGGGGTGTAATGGGGCCTGGGGGGCTGTATCGGGTCCCGGCGGGGCTGGGGGGCTGTATCGGGTCCCGGCGGGGCTGGGGGGGGTGTAGTGGGGCCCGGCGGGGCTGGGGGGGCTGTATCGGGGCTGGCGGGGGGTGTAGTGGGGCCTGGCGGGGCTGGGGGGCTGTATCGGGTCCCAGCGGGGCTGGGGGGCTGTATCGGGGCTGGGGGGGTGTAATGGGGCCTGAGGGGGTGTAGTGGGGCCCAGTGGGGCTGGAGGGCTGTATCGGGTCCCGGCGGGGCTGGGGGGGCTGTATCGGGGCTGGGGGGGTGTAGTGGGGGCCCAGCAGGGCTGGGGGTTATCAGGGCTGGGGGGGTATCGGCATCTCAGCTGCGACCCGCTCTCCATTGCTGACCTGCTCTCCCCGCCTCTCTTGTAGCCCGTCCTGCGCCGAGACCCAGCCACGCGCACCATGACCAAGCTGGTGCAGTGGCTGTGCGGACTGGCCCTGCTGGGCACTGCCTGGGCCACCCTGGCCTTGGACCCCCTGGGCCTCCACCTCCCTCTGCCCTGCCAGCAGGTGCTCTGGCCGTTCCCCGTGTACCTGCTGGTGGCGTTCGGCTGCTACTCCCTGGCGACTGTTGGCTACCGCCTGGCTACATTCAATGACTGCGAGGCTGCTGCGAAGGAGCTCCAGGAGCAGATCAGAGAGGCCCGAGCGGACCTGAGCCGGCGAGGGGCTGAAGTTCTGACCTGCGGGGTAGGGAGGCTGCACCTCAGGGAGCTGGGCCGCTCACCTCACTTGGATTAGCACAATAAAGAATCAGTGTATGTAGCTGAGCCTTGCTGACAGCCTGGGGAAGGGTGGTCACAGAGTGGGCTCTGGGCGGGTTCCTGCTGCGACAGGGAGCTGGTCCATCCCCTCAGGAGAACAGGGGCAGGTGACACGTGGCACTGAGTGCACGAGACGGGTGGGGACTCGATGGTGATGGTAACTAGAAGTGGTCAGTGCAGCAGCTTGCTGCTAGGTGACTCCCTTCACTCCTGCAGCCAGGCCCCCTTGGTGCGGTTCCTAGCTGCTCTCACAAGCAAACCGGGCCAGGGTTTGGATGAGAGAGTCCCAGGAATCACTCATGTGTTGCCAGGGGTGACTCACTGGCTGCTGCTCTTCCCTCTGAGTCAGCAGCAGGGAACACTGTGCTGCTCTGTGTCAGATGCAGGGTGCAAGCGAGGTGGATAATTCTGTACTGTCTCCTTCAGTCCCCTGAGCGTGGCACTGCTCGGGCTAGCCACCCCCAGGCAGCTATCTGAGCCCAAGCTGCCTACACCCCACCCACCGACTCCCCTGGTAACTCGTAGTGGGAAGCTGCAGAGATCGAGTCTTGACTCTGACTCCTCTACCTTCCCCTCTCCCCAGGGCCCCTCCTTGGCTCTCAGCAGCCAGTGGGCATTAAATCAGGGCAGTGGGGGGCTATCAACCAGACCGCATGCCAAGGCTGCAGCCCCCCAGCTCAGGCTCCAGCATGCTGTCTAGGTGGTGGGTGACGCTGCTGGCCCAGGGACGTGGGAAGAGTTGTCATTTCCAGGGTGGCCTGGGCCAGGCCGTGCTAGCGAGAACCTTGCTTCCATGGCACAGTGACTTTCACACGCTGGTTGAAGATGATGAGCAAGTTCAGCAGGGTTTTGTACAGCCCCCTGCGCTCCAGAAGGTGAATGCGGAGGCTGCTTCCTTCAGGGAATCCCTTTCTCCTGAGCAACCAAACAGCCCCATCCATGGGCTGTCTCCCTGGCTAGCACAGGCCCTGCTACAGGGCCCATGGGGCTCCCTGCAGCCAGAAGGGCCGGGCTGCTGCCTGAGTGACACATGTTGGGGCCTGCCTCCCTGGCAGACTCCCTGGGTTCCTTGCATACCAGCCAAAGGACTTTCGTGTTCTTAATTATTGGCTGCGCGTCCTTCTGCAAAAGGAGCAGTTGATATCAAAGGCAGGAATGGGGCTAATTAGCAGGAGCGACTAATTAGCTGCTTCCTGAGCAACAGTGGCAGCAAGGAAGGCAGGACAGCCAGTTAGTTGCAGTCTCGTCCATGCACATGCGTGGCCAGTCATGGCCCGGCAGCGCCCAGCCATGGCCTTGGGCAGCTGGCTCAGCTGAGGGACGCTCCCCAGCTCCCAGCATGGCCCTGGCTGGGGCCCTGCAGGGTGGATACTGAGGGAGGGGGCTTGATGGAGCCCACTAGAGACTCCCAGTAGCAGGCCACCCTGTCGAGCCCCAGCCCAGGGCAGAGAAGAGCTGCCCTCACCAGGATGATCCTGCACATCTTGCATGTTACGAGGTAACAGGAGGTCAGCTCTGCCAGAAGCCGCCCCATCCTCTCAGCTCCCTGGGGACACAGCCAGGATCAGAACAGCCCCACCCCCATTGGGCTGAGGGGAGGGAGAGCTGCTCTTTGGAGCAGGTTGATCCAAATGTGGCTGTCCCTTCAGCCCCCAGTGGGAGCAGGCTGTTTCTCAGGTGCTGTCCACGTGTTTGCACATGATGGCCTGTGTGACTCTTCCTGGGACAGGGCACCCATTGACTTGGGGGGTAGGGGAACCTGCAGGATCAGGCCCTAGGGTAGCCCCTCTCTTGCTCTTTCTCCTCTGCCTCAAACCGATCTGGGAAGGGCCCCCAGTTCCCAGTAACGCCACCAGAGCTGGGGGGGTTGAGTGCACCTGGGCTGTTGGGTGTATCCTCACATGTACCCACCAAGTTCTGGGGCACCAGGGGGTGCAGGCCCTCCACAGCCCCGGCCTGCTCTCTGTGCCTGGGGGTGCCCTGAGCTGAGGAAACAGGCACCATGCTCTGGCTTTGATTTATTAAAAGGCACTTATGCTCATACAAAACAGCACTACAAACCAAGGCATCCAACAGAGAAGAGGGCAGCCCCCCAGCACCGCACTTGGCTCCCACCACAGCCCCCTAGAATGGTTGAGCACAGCAGGGAGGAAGAGAGTCCCCAGAGCTGGCCAGGTGCATGGGGGTTGGTGCAGGGGCACTGCTGAAGTGTCAAAGGCACTATTCCCAATAGAGCAAACCAAAGAAAAATGAAAATGGCTGGAGGTGTGGGGGCATCCCTTGCGGCAAGGCAGCCATGACTCCTCAGAGCCCCCCAGGAGCAGCAGAGCCCCAGGCAGGGGGCAGTACCCGTGTAGTGCCGTGCAAGGCTCTTTGGCTAAGGCAGGCCTAAGGGGGCGGCTGGCAGGGGCCGCCACCAGGGCAGGGGCAAGGGCAGTAGAATCACAGTGTGAGCATTGGCTCCTCCCTTCATCGGTCAGTGAAGGTACTGGGGGGAGGGAAATCATTCGACCCACGGGCTGAGGAGCTGGGTCTGCACCTGCCGCTGGCTCCCCACCACAAGGGCTCAGTGATGCTTCTTCCTGCCCCAGGATGGCGGAGATGGCAGGTCCCAGGCCTCAGGCCTGCAGGGGCTTGTAGAGCTTGTCCTGGTCCGGAGGGAACTGCCAGAATAACCAGAGCCGCAGGATGCTGGTGACTATCCCGGGGACGTTAGGGACCTGAGTGGGAAGGGAACGAGGGGGCACAGAGACAGGAGAGCCATAAATCCTGCAGCAGTTTCACTGTTCCCATGCCCTCCCCTCACAAACTGCTCCATCAGCCACGTGTCATGGGGACACTGTATTGGCTGTCTGCCAGCCAATTAATTAAAATCAGGACCCATCGCCCTGAGCGCGGGTCACAAGGCAGCACAGGGGGCTCCACGGGATGGCTCGGGAACAGCGCACCGCGCTCGCCGGGGGTCTGGGCCTGCACCCCACGATTCCCAGGGCAGCCTCCCCCATGTGGCAGTGAGCGGAAGGGAGGGGCCCCAGCCCTCCGCCAAATGGCACTCACCATGATGTAGAGGTCATTGAGCTGGAGGCCATAGAGCGTCCAGCTGGCCGAGGCCAGGAAGGTGGCCACAGTCAGTGGGAAGGACAGGCACCGGGTTGACCTGGTCCGGATGACCTTGGCCTGCAGGGAACACAGAAGGGGCTAAGTTCAGGGCACTGAGGGGAGCTTCCTGCAGATCCCAGCCAGGGCCCCTCCCAGAGTGACAGCTGTCTCCTGCGAGCCCGTGGGGCCAAGGAAGAACCAGAGCTGAACGGCCCACTGGGGTCTCCTTTGGGCTCCCAACCCCAAGGCCTCCAAGCTGAGGGACTGGGCACCTCACCTGCAGGAACCCAAAGGCCCCAGCATGCACTGCTCTGCCCCAAACCAGCAGAACGCCCCCCAGAGGCCAGTGACATGGCCCATGCCCCAGGCCAGCGCCCCAGTTAGGCAGGTTCCCCTCCGCATGCTTCCCGCGAGGGAGCCACACGCACCAAGACAGCCAGGGGCGAGAGGTACATGCTGATGGTGAAGACACTGCAGAAGAGCCCCAGGTGTGCCAGGCGCACGTCCACGTCTGGGGTCAGGAGGTTGAAGTAGCAGAAGCCGAGGGTCAGCACCCCCAGCAGGGCCACGCTCTGCAGCAGAACCCGGCGCTGGGGGACGGGAAGAGGGGAAGAGGGCAGTCATGGCCGATACCACGATGGCACAGGAAACCCCTTCCCAAGAAATGCCACTGCCGGACCCCGCCCCAGGCACCTCCCTCCTCATGCCAACTCCGCCCCTTCACAGGAATCCCTCCGAACAGGGCAGCTCTCCCCTCCCCCTGGAGCCTGGCAGGCGGGAGGGACTTGCTCTCCACCCACCTTCTCGGGGCTGAAATAGAGGTACACCAGGATATACAGGGTCTGCAGCGCCGCCCCGATGGCGTTCACGGTGATCAGTGTCCAGTCCTGCTTCAAGCACCCGTAGCTCAGCCAGCTCAGGTTACTGCAAGGGGAGACCAGGCTGGGTAGTCACCAGTACTGCTGCCTCTGGGCTGGGGAGCCCTCCAGCACTGGAGCACGTCCCTGTACGTGAACCTCCCGGAGCACATGCTCCCCACCACTGTACAAGCCGCTGGAGCGTGCGCCCTGCCCAGCTGTTGTCCAAGCCCCCCTTGTGACGAAGTGGGACTGTTCTTAATGTTTCCTCCGAATAGTGTGGGGGTGCCTCAGTTTCCCCATGGCAGTTCTTAGGTATCTAGGGGGTGGGATAAGGGTGTATGATCATTGCAGAGCCCTAGAGGGCAGGGGTGTGCAGGGGTCTGGACACAGAGAATGGCCGACACCCTCTTTCCTGGCCACTGATGGCCTGGGCCCTTCCCCCCTGCAAGGTGAGAGCTAAAGGGTTGGAGAACACAGGAATCCCGTGACCTCCTGGCCCGGGAAAGGGACAAAGCCCAGAGGAGGAGGGGCTGGAGAGAGTTTCAGTTTTGGGGCTGGCTGGGGACATGGAGTGAAGTGCAGACGGGGTTGTCTGGCTCACTGCCCCCCAAAATGGACCCAGCTGAGGGGTCCTGTTCTCTGCACCTGCAAACTCTGTGTTAGACCATGTCCCTGTCGTCTAATAAACCCTCTGTGTTACTGGCTGGCTGAGAGTCACGTCTGACTGCGGAGTTGGGGGGCAGGACCCTCTGGCTTCCCCAGGAGCCCCACCTGAGTGGACTCGCTGTGGGAAGCGCACGGAGGGGCAGAGGATGCTGAATGCTCCGAGGTCAGACCCAGGGAGGTGGAAGCTGTGTGAGCTGTGTGTCCTGAAGACAGGCTGCTCACAGAAAGGTGACTGCCCCAGAGTCCTGACTGGCTTCATGGGGAGCAGTTCCAGAGCATTGCCCAGGGACTCCGTGACACCCCTCCACTTGAGCCCCAACTCCAACAGCCACATGACCCTCCGGCCTGCGCCCCTCTGTCCCCCTCATGTCAGCAGGGGCTGGACATACTTTACATCGGTGGTAAGGAAGGGCAGGAACTGGATATTCTCCACACTCCTTGTGCGAAACATCTGGCGCAGGTCAGTCCTAGGGATAAGACAGGGGAGAAATGCCTCCCATCCCCCCAAGTCTGAGGGGACCTAACCCCCCATCCCGGCCCAAGCCCCCCCCGAGTCTGAGAGGGCATTGCCGCAGTGGCTGTGACAAGGGTGACACCCAGAAGCAGTGGTGCCGTTTGCCATTTTTCAGCCTTGGTGTCAGGTGGTTACATGGCGGGTAGGGCCTGCTCTGGACTCGGTGTTGAACAGGGGCAGCGCCCAGCTGCGTTGGGATTTTATACTGACTGGTGCACCCCCAGGGACGGGCCAGTCCCCCGGTGTGACGGGGCCCCCTCCCCAGCCAGCTCACCCCGCCCCTGACGGGACACGTCCCGCGCTGGCAGCGCCTCCACCCGCTGCGTCCGCACTCAGGCTGCGTGAACCAGCTGCAGTGGGATGGATAAACCGGGGTAACTTCCCAGCGCCGGCAAGGCGCAAATTCCCAGCCCTCACGACGGCAGAGAAATGCTGGCAAACGGAACCCGCCTCCCCCCAGCCCTGACGGTCCCGAGGACGTCGCTCTTTTAAAAATCCTCGTGACTGAGGACAGCTCGGAGTTGGCCAAACTGTAGAGGCCCAGCCATGCCAGGAGCTGCCCATGCGAGTCACGGCCCACCCCACAGGGCTGGGGGCAGGGTAGCCACTGGGAAAGGAGGGAGCCCCCAGGGGTAAGTTCCTGTGTCCATAGAGCTGCCAACCCACAGCGATGCCCAGGCCCACCCAGTCCCTAGTAATCCCTAGCACCCCAGCCCAGCCCCCAGCAACCCCCAGCCTCTGGTAACCCATAGCTCTTCCCAGCGCAGCCCCCTAGTAACCCCCAGCACCCCAACCCCCAGCACCCCACAACACCAGTAACCCATAGCTCTTCCCAGCCCAGTCCCACAGCAACCCACAGACACCCTCAACGCCCAGTAACCCACAGCCCCCCAACCCAGCCCCTAGTCCCCCCCGTGACACATAGTCCCCCAACCCCCTGTAACCCATAGCCCCCCCAGCCCAGCCCCTAGTCCCTCCCAGTAATCCACAGCCCCCCAACCCAGCCCCTCGCTCCCCCCCGTAACCCACAGCCCCCCAGCCCGGCCCCTCGCTGCCCCCCGTAACCCACAGCCCCCCAGCCCGGCCCCTCGCTGCCCCCCCGTAACCCACAGCCCCCCAGCCCGGCCCCTCGCTCCCCCCCGTAACCCACAGCCCCCCAGCCCAGCCCCTCGCTGCCCCCCGTAACCCACAGCCCCCCAGCCCGGCCCCTCGCTCCCCCCGCAGCCCCCCAGCCCGGCCCCTCGCTGCCCCCCCCCCCGTAACCCACAGCCCCCCAGCCCGGCCCCTCGCTCCCCCCGCAGCCCCCCAGCCCAGCCGCCGCCCGGACCCGGACCCGGACCCGGAAGCGGCTCGGCTCGGCCCGGCCGCACTCACAGGCCCGTGGCGAACATGCCGAGGGTGCAGGCGACGCAGGCCCCCGAGAGCAGCGGCAGCGGCGGCGGCTCCATCCCGGGCTGCGGCCGGCGGGGACCGAGACTGGGGCCGGGCCCCGCCGGGACCCGCCCCCGGCACCTCCCCGGGCCCGACACCCCGGGGCCCGTCGGCCCCACCCCTTGGCCCCCCAACCCCCCAGCGCAGCCCCCGGGGGCCCCCAAGCCCCCTCGGCCCCCTTCGGCCCCCCAGCGCAGCGCCCGGGGGCCCCCAAGCCCCCTCGGCCCCCCAACCCCCCAGCGCAGCCCCCGGGGCCCCCCAACCCCCAGCGCAGCCCCCGGGGGCCCCCAAGCCCCCTCGGCCCCCTTCGGCCCCCCAGCGCAGCGCCCGGGGCCCCCCAACCACCCCAGACCCCCTCGGCCCCCAGCGCAGCGCCCGGGGCCCCCCTCGGCCCCCAGCGCAGCGCCTGGGGCCCCCAACCCCCCGGCCCCCAGCGCAGCGCCCGGGGCCCCCCAGCCCCCCTCGGCCCCCCAGCGCAGCGCCCGGGGCCCCCAGCCCCCCTCGGCCCCCCCAGCGCAGAGCCCGGGGTCCCCCAACCCCCTCGGCCCCCCAGCCCAGCGCCCGGGGCACCCCAACTCCCCCACAGCCCCCAAGTCACCCCACAGCCCCTCCAGCACCCCCCTCAGTATCCCTGTGCAGCATCCACGTCCCCCCAATTCCTCCACAGCCCCCTATGTCACCCCTCGCCCCTCCAACTGCCCCACAGCCCCCATGTCACCCCTTGGACCCCCACAGCTCCCTGTGTCACCCCCCAGTCCCCCATGTCACCCCACAGCCCCTTTGGTATGACACCAAAGCTCCAGCCCCTCCGAACACCCCGCATGTCACCCCCAATAAACCCCTACAGTGACACCCCTCGGCACACCCCAACAGCCCTCAATACCCCCCAGTCCCACTCAGTATCATAGTATAACGGCCCTCCAACAATCCCCCCACAGCCCCCTGTCACAAAACCCAGCCCCCGTCACTCCTCCAGCACCCAACATTGCCCACAAACACCCAGGGTATCTCACACACACTCAGCAACCCCCCCCCCCCCCCGCTGTCACCCCCAGCACCACCGTCTGCAGTTGCTCTCCCAGGGCATTACCACCCCGATGCTCCCCACTTATACCCCCTGTACTTCCATCTCCTGACATTCCCAGATATTCCCCCAGTCCTTGCCTACCCCCCAAAATCACTGCCACCCATAACAGCCCTCCCTGGGTGCTCCCAGATATTGCCATCCCAGCCCCCTCCTCCCCACAATATCACTCTCAGATCCGTCCCCATGGGGCAGAGGGGAGCAGCGGGGAACCTTGTGGCCCTGGGCTTTGGGATGTGGGGGAATCGTCCCCCATGACCCCAGGTGCAGGCTGGTCCAGAGAGGGGGTGATGTCCCCAGGGCAGGGGGCACCGGTGGCTCTGGCCGTGTTTGACTGGAGCCAGGACTCCTGGGTTCAGTTCCTGTCTGCGAGGCCCTGTGCAGCCTTGGGTGACTCACTGCCCCTTTCCCAACTTTCCCAGCCTGTCTCTGAAGTGGGGGAGGTGGAGCCTGACTCACCTACCTCCCAGGCTGGGAGCCACAGCCCTGTCTGCACACCCGGAGCCGCAAAAGTAGCTAGATGGGTTCCCTGAACGGAAGCCGGAGCCAGGGCCTGGGCCTGGTGTCATTGTTGCACATTCCCTGGGCCCGCTGCCCCGTGGATCCACTACGGCTGCCTCCCAGGCCCACTGGCTGCTGCTGCTCTGCGGGACTCTGCGTGGGCCTGGCTGCCCCCCTGTGCCCCATTCCTCCTGTGACGGTGTCCCAGCTGCTTCCCCCCGGCCGTGCGTGGACACATCACGGAATGAACGGGCAGGGCGCGGTCGCGTGTCGTCTGCCCCCAGCCCAAGGACGGGGGGTTGGTGGTTGGTGTGGAACAGCAGGGCTGTGGCAAGGCCAGTGCGTTAACCAGGTGGCAGAGATGGGGCGGGCAGCACCTGCTACAGGCGTTGAGAGGCAGGGCATTTCCTGCTCGATCTGTGCCCAGCTGCCAGAGCTCGGCTGAGGCTGTTGCTTTGGGCTGATGGGCCTGGAGAGTTTGGTTCCGGCCTAACTCCATCTCCTGGGGTCTGCCTCTTTGGGAAGCGGGCTAGTTGCCTCAGGAGGCCAGCTCAAGGGCTTGTGAAGGCTGCTCAGGCTCCTAGGCCCCTTCCCATTCCCAGCTGGGCAGAGAGGAGCGAGGCTGCCATGCCTGGACCTTGCAGGTGCTTGGGGACTGCCCCCCTCCTTGCCCAGGACACTGGCGAGCCGCTGGTGACTTTGGCAGGGTGAGTGGCCGCCTCAGCACCTGTGTCTGCTCATCAGCTGGGCTTGGGGTGATGCCTGCACATCTGCCCGGATGTTGCATCTCGGCCTGTCTCCAGCGGGTGGTAATTAGGCTCCGGCTGTGCCAGTCTCTCCCTTGACTCATTGCAGCCTGCACCGGTCAGACCAGCTGCCAGCCACAGGCCACCGAGAGATGGCCTGGTTTGGAACCAGGGTTCCTGGGGTTCCCCAGCTGAGTGGGGCGAGGGGTTTGCTGCCTGTGAGCGTGAAGGGACAGCCTGGTAGCTGGGCTCGGTTTTGGCTCTGCTGTAGACTCGGGTCTCCCTGTGGAGCAGTTGATTGCCTAGTGGTGCAGCGTCAAGTGCTGTGGCCAGTGGGACCCATCCAAGCGCTGGGCTAGGAGGACCCTGGAGGGGACAGAGAGCCCAGCGCTTCGGGCATCAGATACCCAGGTCCAATCCCTGCTCTGCCACAGGCACTCAGCCTTTCTGGGCCTCAGTTCCCGTCTCTGCTATGGGGTAACAGCGCAGCCCTGGTACCTACGGGAGGGGAATAAATACAATCAGGGCTGCGGTGTTCACACCTCTGCTCCCAGGACAGTCCTGGCTCTGGTGCACAAAGGGGGAGTTGGCCTGGGAGTTGCCTCCTGGAGCAGGGTTTTGAAGGCATTTCCTCCTCCCCAGGACAGGAGTCGCCCCTCAGCCCAAGGCTGGGGAAGGGGAGAGGAGCCGAGCCCGGCCGCTCTGGGGAGCCGGAGTCAAAGAGATGCTGCATGGCCCTGGATGAGTCTGTTTGATTTTCGTTCATTGCTGCCAGCCACGTCTGTCCCAGTGGGGCTGCAGCTGCCAGAGGCCTGGAAACACAGCACAGCTCGGTGGGGGCGCAGGGAGAGATGGTCAGGGGCATTCATGGCCCAACTCAGCCCACCCCTTCAGAGTGAGTCCCCTCCCCTCTCCTCCGCCCTGCTCGGGAAGCATTTGTGAATCTAGATCGAAATAATGGATAGCGTCAGCCACAGGGGCTTTGGCATTTTCCACTCCAAAGCTCTCTGCAAACCCAGCCAGTTAATTAACTAATTACAACAGCCATGTAGCCAAGAGCCCACTGCTCAACCCACCTCACCCCCAGAGGCCCAACCCACTTGGCCAGCAGGACCAGCCAGCCATTTTCCCAGGAGTGGAGAAGGCTGGCAAGGGGCACGCTGCCCGGGGAGGGTCTTGAACCCACAAGAGGCCTCTGGTTGATAGGAGAGGGCAGCGCAGGCTTGGAGCAGGGGTCGCTCTCTCTGCCTGTCACCTTCTCTGTGGCTCTAGCCAGGGAGATCCAGCTGGGGCCTGGGTGCTGCCCCTTCAGGGGGGCCTGGATCTTAGCTGGAAGCTTGGGAGGAGGTGGAGATGCTTGGGCGTCCTGTTGCCCAGGTTGGGGGAGTCCCAGAGGTGCTACGGTACTGTCCTGCCAGGCCTGTTGGACAAGTGCAGTTGGCACCTTTCCCCACCCCTTCTCCCGCAGCAGCGGCCCAGCCGTATCCAAAAGTATTTATTCAAGACCATTTGTATAAAAATTTCAGTGGTAAAAAGGAAGCTTTACAAATCGAGACACATTATATACACTGCTCTGTGCAGGGCCCAGCAGGTGTGTGGCTGAATGAGCCCCTCACCCCATCCAGGCAGCGAGGCGCACACAGGCCGTGGAGATGGGAATACAGGAAGTCTAGAGACCTGCAGGTAGTGGGAACTCCAGCCAGGCAGCAGCTACACTCAGCCTCTGCCCCACCCTGTTTCCTTTACAGGTGGCTGCTTTACAGAGGACAGGCAGTCCTGGGTGGGGCAAGGAGAGGAGGAAGAGATACTGTGGCAATGAGCCTAGGCAGACAGGAATGGGGCTGGGAGTTAGTGCCAAAGGAACTCCAGCTCTCAGTGTTTCTGGAGAGGCCAGGCTGGGGTGGATAGAGGGAATGGGGGTGTCATGGGTTTGGGGCTGCCAGCTCAT